GCGCGAAGGGGGGGTGGAAGGTTGGAATACACCGCGATCTTTACCAACACCAAGGCCGTCCGAGGCATGTCCGCGCGCACGACCGACAGTGAACTACTACTCCCACCACACGAAACTTTAGGAAAAATCAATAGAATACGAGAAAAGCCTTCGCTCTCTCTACGAGACTCACAAAGGGGCGAGTGGAGGCTCTCTATGTGGATTTGTCGGGCTTCCAACCCCCCTTCACTCCCCCTTTTCGTCCCCTTTTCATCCCCTTTACCACCTAGTCACCCCTTTCCATCCCTTGTCCGCTTTCCTCCTGCCCCCTTCTCGCACCCTCCGGGGGATGTTACCAAATCTAGCGTCTTCTGGAGCATTTTTTTCATTTTTAGGATTATTTATTTATTTTTTTTTTGGTTTAAGGGGAGCTCAGGGGTTTCTGGGACATGTGATTTCGGGGTCAGTGTCTAGGGGAGGAAAGGCTTTTGGTAGTATTTTTTTTTTTTTTTTTGGGGGCGTCAAGGGGACGGAAAGCGAAAAAGATGGCGGTGGGTTTGAGAATTTTACACGGCGTTTGACGCAGACGCAATGGTGTACGATTTTGTTGTACATTGCTCTCGCAGATATTCCGATCGGTAATGCCTTCGACGGGGCACACCGCGTGGATATCAGGCTTTTTGCGAGATTGTGTTGGGACAATCCGCGTGTACGCGGGATAGGTGCGAGACGCTCTTGTCATCTGGTTTTCCGAATTTTGGGGGTTTTCTTCGAGGATGGAGAGAAACATTTGGAAATTCATTGCCAGATGGCGATTTTTTCCCAAAATTCTTCTTCATTTTTTGGAAATAGGCCTGAATTAGATATCAATTATGAAAAAGTCTGAAAAGTATCAATTCTTCATCTTATAGACTTCACTCGATCAATTGTGACTGTATAAAATTAAAAAAAAACTCTTGAATAAAAAATGTCTAGCAGTCCTGAAAATTACGTTTTTTAGGGACTGATAATTCAGGAACTTCTTTCAGGATTTTTCTTTGCGAATTGTCTTGCAAGATATTTTTTTAAATTCATGAATTATTATTGTTTTCAAGCCACATTTTGCTACTTTTACTTGGATACCGATAATTTCAGTCCTGTTTATGGTTTTTTACTAGTATTTTTATTTTTAAACTTGCCCTAGAAATGCAGGAAGACATGCGAGCGAGGGCTGAGCTGAAAGGAGATGCGGACTTTTAGGCTTTCACTCTTATCATGATGGATAGACAACAGCCTGTGTGGAAAAATTATTGATTCTAGAAGATCTATTAACCTACGGAAGAATCTGCGAAACATAACATAAATGACCTAAAAAAATCCGACGACAAAATCATCACTGACAATTCTAATTTTCCCTCCTTACATTTTTCACTCATTACTCTCATTACTCTTAATTTACAAAATTTCGCAGGGAAAATCAAAACAAATATTTTTAACAATGATTTTCATTTCATTTTCATTTTTGGTTTGACGTGTTGGAAAAACATTAGTACCTGCCTCTCATTAGAGAACAGCGAGGGTACGAAGAGTTAAAAAACAGAGAATTCTTCCGGAAAACGAGTGCTCCAAGAAACATGAAAAAAAATGATTCTTTGTTTGCTAGTCTCGCACACTCTCCTTTTGCCCAACGTAGAACTTTTGCGGGATGACGCATATATTTTCATTAAAACCGGTCCTACGGGTCGGTCTTTCGTCTGTGCAATCTCTTTGGGTCCGTCTCGGACCTCTTATTTTTTTCGTTTCCAATCCTTGAGATTTAATATCTGTTTTGATGTTGCATTTTGTTTTCCGTTTCTCAAATCACACGATTCGTCTTTCCTCGTCTTTCTTCATTCGCTCCTCAACAGAACTCTTCTCTTTTCTTCAGACAACCACAGCCACTTGTTCAGAAATAATTGCACAATATATTATAAATAATTCACTGAGGGCTGCAGCCACGAGAAAAATACTGAGAATTTTTCGATCCGCAAAGTCCCAAAAATGAAGCAGCTGCAATTTTTTGAATAAACATTTTGGAAAAAATATTGGGAGAATTCAAACAATCGATTATTGATTATATATTTTTTTAATATGAAATTTTTTGATAATTGATTATACAATCATTTCCAAATTCAAAGTCAATCGAGAGATGATCAATAAGAATAAAATGTATATGTCAAGGTAGAATTCAATTCCTCTCAATATTTGTAGACATCCATGGGGACATGATCTAAAAATATGTCATTCGACCGAAACATTGAAAATTTCGAAATGAACCCATCAATACATTGCGTCCATTGAACAAAAAAACATTATATTTCGGTAGGCAGAACAAATAGACCAGGAAAAAATAGCCCATACACCCAAAACGTGTTAAAACCCACGCGAATTAATAGACCACAGGAAAATTGGTAAAGGTCTATTATTTCTGTCATCTATTTCGTCAGGGATTCCATTCATTTAATTTCCAAGCAATAATAAAATTGATACTCCCAGTTGCCATGGGATTTTTCATGAAATTTCGATTGATCAATGAGACAATTTTTATAGTAATATTTTTTTTAATTAAATGAATTAATGTAGAGGATTTAAAGATAATGGCGAGGGGGCGAAGGAGATTATGATTATTGTTTTTAAATAAAGGCTACCTCTCGTTTTATTATAAACACATAACACTTACCTGCGTCGTTTTTCCCTCGTCACACTTTTAGATTTTTTTTTTCATCCCATTCCAACTCCATTCTCCCCTCAACTTTCAATTTATTCCAAATGCCAACGACGAACCGCGTGGTTGAACGAACGCCCTCGAGTGAAAAAAAGTTCCTTGTTATTATTGTGATATTCGGGTAGGTCATATGAAAAAGGGGCAGACAAAGATATAAAACAATCCTTGACCCAGTTTTGACCCTAAAAAAGAAGACTATTCTCTGTGGATGTGGATATTTTTTTTTTCACGGTCAAGAGTTTTCCGCTCCCTTCGATGGTACGTGTGTCTCATTTATCTTGAATTACGGGAAAAAGGAGAAATATATTATTTCTGTATCAACACACTAGTCACGTGGCTAAAATATCATCAGGGGAATCATTCGAGATGAATTAACGATACAGATGTGGAAAATCTTTTCTTTTTAGAATTCAAGTGCAGAATAGGTGAGTTTCGCTGGCATTTTTTTAGTAGAAATTTATTATTATTCTTTATTTTACAATCTGAATTAATACAAATAATAGAAATTTCCGTTTTTCTTCTTTAGATAATTTTTTTAATTTCCGCAATAGAACTATTAAATCCTATTTTTGGCGACTTGAATGAAAAAAATTAGCAAAAGTCGTTCTGATAAAAATTGAATTACGAAAAAAAATGTATAACGTCCGTTTTTCCTGGAGACAACTTTCTGAAATTTTAAAATAAAAAATTTGATGTCCACATTCTACTCCGCGGTTATAGATTTTCGCGAAATCACTGGAATTTTCGGAAAAATTGGAAAATCGGTTTTTTCTAACAGATCAGAATAGCTCTGTCTTGACAAACATTCAGTTTTCCCATGGAAAACACCTGTCGTGGAACTATCGAGAGGAGAACAGAGAACATCATGTGTACAGGGTGTGTGTTTATGCCCTCATTTTTCACGTGAAAACTCAGTCTTTTCTACGATAACTGCACTCTCTTTTTCAACCCCTGCGGGACTTTTTTCCTCGTTTTGCATTCGGCACAGATGAAAGAGGTCGTACGTGAAACTTTATGAATGAATATTTCCGAGCCAAGTGTTAGAGAGCGTGGGGTACAAATGTCCTCTCTCTTTCGCCCCTTTTTCTATTCCGTTAACCCACCAAACCATTTTCCCTCACCAGCCAGTCGTTTTCATTCATTGATTCCATATTTTTCCCTCCCCAATGAATATACCGTGGGGTCTTGAATTTTTCATTTTTACAAATTTTGGGATGACGAGGAAAGATACCAAAAATTCAAGTACTCACGTTAAAAACAATTATGTCCATTCAGCGATTGAAAAAAAAATAACTGTACAATTACGATTTTTTTCCCAGACAAGAATTCGACATCTGGGAGATTTGGATTTTTAAGACTTAAATTTAGACAGATAGTCGCGAAAAATGAAGATCTACGATTTTTTTATGCAAAGAAATCCATGAGTTTTCAATTTTTTAATGTTTTCAATTTTTTAATGTTTTCAATGGAAATTAAATTAAATCAATTAGTTCAAGGCAATTTAATTGAGATTTAAATAGAAAAATAGTGAAATTTCAATGGAAGTTGGAGCCGATAAGAAAATTCAGTCCTGAAAATGAAGACAAAAATTTTTTATCAGTGAATTTGTGAAAATGATTAAATGAACACCTGTTTGGTAAACAGTACGTGTTTTAATTGCTGGATGGAGTGTAAAAAATATCAGAACTCGGGAGAATAAGTTAGCGATGACTCTTAATACTCCCAAGAATATCCAAGGGACGATTATATCCTGAAGAGTTACGTCTAACGTTTTGAGTAACACGCGTGGGTGGATAAGATCATTATAGGTCTTTCAACTATTACGAATGATAAATTGATGGTTCATGCTCATCGAGAAACATGCGATTTCAGCTCAGGCGCGTGTTTTACGTAGTGTTTCGCTCGATTATTCAGCATTCACTTCCGTAATTTCATCAATTAGATGATTTGGGGGAAAAAATACGGAACAACTCGTGTGGGCTTGCCATTTTTTAAATACTTTGTAAAAGATTCAATTCTTGCCGAACTCATAATTACGATTTGCGATCTATTTTTGCAATGATTACATAAAAGTTGAATATACTACCTCTTCAAGAGACAACTAATAAATTATCGATTAAATTCTTCATTTAATTAACTCGTCTCATTATTTCTGACGATTCCTTTTACCTGGTGCGTAAGTTTTCTTCGAATATCTCAAAATCTAAAAGAAAACCTCTAATTATTCTAAGAACCTTTTCTGTAGCTCTTGTTCTACTCTGCAAAATACGTCTGGACTAAAATTTTTTATCTCCCTTGAATTCAGAGATATTCGTGGAAAACGCAGCCGGAGAACAAGTGGAATTGTTACCCATTGGTAATTCTCCACATTTAAAATTCCTAGGAGTCTCCCCTCAAGACGATCTCAAAAACAGAAGTCATAAAAAAGTTATTGTCACTCTATAAACCATCTTGACTTGAAACGATCAAGACGCCACAGAATTGTCTCTAAACAAGAACGTGCACCAAATCCGATAGTGAAATGGCAAAGATGAATAATCCAACTCAGGTCTTCGCTAAATTTTCCGAAATATCGGCGAAACTAACGGAGATATCGAAATAGTCATAATAACTTTTTGTGTAGCTCTCAGTTAGTTCTACAAAAAAGGTACAACAATAATTTCCGTATTTTCCATAGTTTCGGAAACATTTCCGAAAACGTAAAATTACCTCATTTTACCCTTTCATTGCTTAATTCCAATATCATGGCGATTCCTCATGCGAAGATATCCTCTTCTTGGGTCACGACTGGTGGGTAACTCGCACTCATCACCAGTATATGGTAATCCTAGACTGATGAGCTGTAGTAAACCGTAAGGCACTGGTATAGATCCAATCAAACAATTGACGTGTTTCAATTCAGACAATGAGAGTGGAGTATTGATGTAAAGTTTTTCCTTCGTCATGTCAATACCCCGTAGAATACCGAAGCCATAACAGACAGCTGGAGGTGCCCTCATCATGACCTCAGGATATCCAACTTTTTCCCTGGACTCGCTGGATTCTGTATCTTGACAAACAATACCACACATTGCCACAATATTTCCATTCATGACTGAGAGAATTTGCGGTACCAGTGGCTTCCCCAGGGATATTTTCACCGCTGAAAATGGTACTTCGTATGGGACCACCTCGTTTATACTCGTCAATTCGTGCTTCGGTCCCCTTTCTCCTCTCTTTGCATTTAAAATACCACTCAAGTATGCAAGCATGACGATCTCCCTCTGCTGATAGGGCTCGATGTTCCACTGCTCTCCGTTTTGACTTGGGGATTCTGCTTCAGTTTCCATCACATGGAGCTGATATTTCAGGGAGTCTTCTGGGATATTTTCCATAGAGACATTCCAAGTTGGATTCTGACGATTCATTATTTCACAAGTCAACAACTGATCGTAATTGTTCTTCGCCCTCTTGGAAGTGATCTGAACGACCTGATTAGGTCGCATCATCCTGATGACGTAACACATGATGTCCCACCCGATTCCCTTGCAGAAACCCATGGTGTTGATGACCACAGGCAATCCCTCGAGCTCCTCACATCTCTCCAAAAACTCATACAATAGTCTCACCCCCTCGATGTAATTCATGAGATATTTTGTAGGATCGGCTCCTCCCACGTATATCTGGTGATAGGGAGTCCTCAGGTGAGTGAAATTCGCCCCAAGAAGGGGTTGCTGGACGACATTCACAGAGATACACCCACTCGGGGTGAACTCGGCCTGTCCAAGATCCAAATCAACGAAAAGGACAGTCTTTGAGATTTCCAACAGTCTATTAACAAAATATCTTCCTGTCGTTGACTTTCCTACACTCTTTCCCCCAGCAACAAGAATTCTCAAACCAGAATCGTCACTCTCGGAATGATCTTTCAGAATTCTTTCGCAGATCTCTTCAGTTCTGTGAAATCCAATGGCTCTTCCTGAGTTTCCTGGATAGATATTTGTCTGTAAAACAAGTTCTGCTCGTTTTCTGTCTGACCAGGAGTAGCTTGAGGTATTCTCCACCTTTGGAAAGAGCCTGTGAGTTGAGAAATTGTTCAAGAATGTTGTCAGATTATTCTCCAGGTTCTGCAGATTCAGGACAGCCCATCCAGGCTTTAAATTTTTTATTTTATTCTCTATGTCGTTGGGAATCCGATGGAAGATTCTGTCAAGCCTGAGGCTTGAAAACAGGTCCGTTTCATCTTCTGGATGCTCTTTCTGGGTGGCCTCGATGGAAATTAAACTACTACATCTGGACGAGTAAACCTCCAATGGAGTTGTCGTATTTTCTTTACGAACTAGTACACCGTAAATATTAACAGCTCCGTAGAGAACCTGGACCTTCAGTTTTCCTTGAAATGAGAATTTCGTTCCAGGCTCCATTACACAGAGGACTTTGCCTCGAAGACTGTAGAAGTGAGGAAATTTAGAGTCATCTGTGGCCTCGAGGAATTCCTCAGGACAAGACTCTGGACTCCGAAGGGAAGGGCAAGCAAGGGCTGAATTTGACTCTTCGTTGTGAGATGCGTCTCCTAAAATCGAGACTTCAGGGTTTGATTCATCTCTGGAATCTGTTTGTCGGACTTCAGTCATATTTTTACTTCTTCTATTTCGTTTCTTACGAATCTCATCTGGAACAATCGTTCGACAGATTGTGATTTTGACTGGCAGGCCAGTGCACTCACTCGATACGAAATCTCGGAGAATTTTATTCTTTCGGCGAGTTACACTCTCAGGAAGGTCAGGGGCACTTGATTCAAATAGCTGTCGGAGATTACAGAATTGTTTGTTTCTGAGTTTTGTTTTCTTTTGCAGATTGCGTACCTAGAATTAAGGGTTTTTGATAGTACTGAATTTCAAGTCGTTAATATTTTTATAGAGATCAGAGATTTAACAGATTTATTTTCGCTTGGAGATACCTTGGGCTCTCGATCTATTGCCGTTACTCTTTGCCAATCCTCCCATAAATTGTCATCCAGTGGAACGTTTTCGATAACCATTGACTCCTCTGCATTCTTCTCTCTTTCGACTTCATCGTGTATTTGCAAGTTATTTCTACTTCTGGTCTTTGGTTTTGAAATTTTCATTTCTCGTGGAATAATTAATAACTACTGGAGTTCTTGGGGTTCACCTCAAGATCGAGGTTATAATTGTTGTTGGTGAATCGTGAAAGCACATGTGCTTCGAGTCGATTAGTTAAATTCCTGAAATACCTACTACTTTGTAAAATCAATCTATTTCCAATTTAAATATTAATTATCTTCAAATTCTCTGGAATTAATTCATTTTTAATTATTAATTCTGGAAGTATAATTTAAAAAGCAAAAAATGTAATTAGCAATACATCTCATTAATGAACGATAAAACACTGCGAATACCAGGTTTATCGAAAAAAAATCGTTTTTCGGCTTAAATTATGAAATTTTATTAAATTTAGTTGTACAATATTCGAGAAATTTTTGGAAAGTGTCACATCATTTTCCTGAGGCAGTGGCCAGTGGATTCCTGAGGACTAATATGACGGAATCACCACGGAGAAACATTTTGGATATAAATCGATCTTTATTCACTGGTTTCGCCTAAATCGAAAATAAATGAGTACGAGATTAATACATGCGGGAATTGTTGTTAAAATGGACTATTTTACCTTTTTCTTTCCCTTTCCTGTTCTTGGGAGCTCGGTCCACATCTCCTTGACGTTTTCTAAGACCATATTGCAATGTCTGTCAAATGCCTTGACACGTCCGAGGAGTTTCTTATTGTTTCGACAGTTTATCAACACCTGTGTATTATTTTTCACTGACTGAGTGAGAACTGATAGTGGACCTGTGTTGAATTCCTCCTCTTCTCGTTTAGCCAATTCTTCAGGCGTCATTTCAGACTTTGGCTTTGCCAGGGATGCCCTAAATTAAATAAATAAATTGTTACATTTGTTGAAAAACAGAGAGTAAATTATGATTTAAAAAATTCCTGCATTTTTTCGGTAAATTATGCTGAGCTTGGCTTGAATTTTTATTTTATTTGAATTTTATTCTATTATATTTTTAATAACTCATTTTTATTTTATGATTCAACATCAAGACTTGAAGAAGTGAATCAAAATTCTCAGTGTAACAACAATCGGAAGAAGGTTAGGTTTTATACAATGGAAATTTAGAATAAACATTCGTAAGATTATGAAATTATAATTATTGGTGGGATATTAGCAAGTTTACTTACATTTTTGTATTTTATTGAATTTCAATTGCAAGCACTAGGGTAAATAGAAGTAAATATCTTGGTATCTGCAGAAAGACGCGGTGTAAAGCCGTAAAACAATTGTATCAGAGATTACAGGACTCAAAGAGGATTGACTAAAGTAGAGGGCTCAGTTCTAGGGGTTTGAGTGACTCCAGTGGCGTCGTAGTACCGCACCCCAAGAGAGGGAGGGTGCCACACGCAATGGGGATGTCTGCCACTCAGCCGACTCTGCGCGTTAGAGGACGCGATGAAAACCCGCCAATTTCAAATAATGATAAACTTATAAATGATTTTAAGATGTTGTTCATGAGGTGCTGATGGCGAAAAAATTAAATAAATCGTGTGTTTATTAAACTCGGTATTTACAAATCTTATTGAATATACATTTTATTACATTAACCACAGAAAACCTGACGGCCTTCTCTCTAATCCCTTTAATCAGTCATTAAGAAGTACAATGAAATTTACCTCTCTCTAAAATTCTCAAAAAAAGCCTATAGCCTTCTGGAAAAATTCTGTTTAATTCTGTTAGAATTCATGTCCATTAATTTCGACAAATCATCATCCATGAGAGAAGAAATAAAATAGAATAATCCTTGGCGATCAAATATCAAGACTAGAGTTCCAACTAAATTCAACAGAACTTCCAGAGAAAGTCCTCGATTTTTCTACTAAACGTTCCACATATGTGGCCTAAACCATTTTTTCCACCAACTCCAATAACACCTCGCAGCGTCTCTTGACTTGCTCGACAGTTCTCTCCTGAAGATTTTCAGCGACAATGCGAAAGGTTCTCTCAGAGTAGTCCCTCTGCACATGCTGCAGGAGGACAGCATCCTCCTGCCTGGACCAGGGCCTGTCGAAATCTTCCGATTCAGCCGTGACGTCGCTATCCGATTTACTGCTCTCCATTTCCGTCTGCTCACTGGTGTTTACCTCAGAGTCGCTATTATCGATCTTCCCAATCTCCTCGCTTCCCTCAATTAGCTCTTCGTGTTCACTGCTCACCCCCAAGCGTCCCTCCCCACCTTTAAACTCGAAAAGATCATTTTTCGAATCGGACTTAGCCTCCCGCCTCTCAGCCCTCTTCTCTCTTTTGCTCTTGATGGGAGAATTATCCGCAGATTGTCCCAATGTAGAACCACTGTCCGATGACTTAGACATCCTCCTCTGATCCACGTACTTCGGTGGTGACTTGCCACCCCTCCTACCCTTTCCAGACTCATCATTGTCCTTGACCGGTGATCCCTTGGACGTGAATTTCTGTGGTATCCCCTCGTCAGCTTCATTCTTTGATGACTTTCTTCTCCTCCCAGTGGATCCAGCTGGTGAGCATCTCTCACTGGCCCTCAACGAGACCCTCGCAATATTCTCCAGTTTCTCTTCCTCATCCCCTGGGAAAGTCACCTTGGCGGGCCTCAAGCCCTCAGCAGTCTGCAAGAAAATTCTCCCATTGACATACCTCACTCCACATGCAGCGCAGTGATCAGAGTTTGTCTTGGATGGTGAACTGCTGTTCTCGTGGCAGATGCACCTGCAGTTATCACCACCGTAAGGATCATCCTGAGTGGGTGGTGTTGACAGTTCAATACTCTCGTATAATTCAGGTGAATCTTCGGTGTAGACTTTGTTCTTGTCGTAAGGGCCCACTGGACACGTCAGATTCTCGAATAAATGGGGTAAAAAGAGACTCTCTGGAGGTTTTCCACTGGGTATGCACTGCAGAAACATGTTCATCGGCAAGGGATGGCCCTTCAACACTGGATCCATCACCGAGTGGACACTTTCAAGACTTGGGGATGGCTCAGCTGCCAGTTGCGTAATTGCTCTCATCAGACGAGTCATTCTTGCTGGTTGCTTTGCAAAATAAACCTGAGCGACATTCATAAACTCTGCCATTTTCTTGGCCATCGTGTGCTCCTTGAATTGTCCCACCATCACTGCCTGGTGGGGTTTCAGAAAGGAGAGAAAGTCCGAGGATAGCTCTGGATAATCCTTCAAGGCTTCGCTTATTCTATTGTAAAAATCAATTGCCAATTTGTCCTGGAGGGACTGTGACATCCCCCCCTCGACTTTATCACTGTAATCTGTCAATAGTTTTATTATGGTCTTGAGGAGCTCTGGATTGGATGCCTCCAGAGTCATATGGACTTTCTGAATACAAGAGGCTGCAAACTTTGTAATTCGCTCCTCATGCCCCAGATCTGTTTCAGCCTCCAGCAATCGTTTTATATTCTCCAATTCTCGAGCTTCTTTTGCCTTTTTCCGATTGATGTCTTTTCTTATTGTCGTGCTTGCCAGCATCAGTTCGGCTATTTCGTCCTCGTTATCACCTCGAGATGACTCCAAGGACTCTGGAGTCTTGGGAGACTCGTCCTTCGAACGAGATCTTGGCGAGGGACTTGGGGAGCTCTTCGGGCCTGACACTTGGGTCATTAGCTTCATGTTTTGGGCACTGCGGATTTTGGCTAGGCGAGGGGTTGTTTGACGGAGCTGGGGAGACGTCAGGGTACCTTCCAGGGGATTGGAGTCGTCTTCCTGAGGGTTTGAGTCCTTTTTTGGTGGGGTTTGCTCCAGGGTTGGCATATTTGGCAACATATTGATCAGGGGGGAGAGGAAACTTGCGTCGATGATTATATTGTCGGTGGATTCTGAAAGAGATTTCGTTAGAAGGGTTGACATGGGACTCAAGGACTTCAGGTTTTCCTCACTAGAGATCTCCTGCCAGACCACAGGCAATAAATGTCGCGGCTGTTCTTTTGGTGACTTCAGAGTATTCTCTAGAGCGACACAGTGGATCCTGCTGGGCACATATCCATTTTTAAAATAATGCTTTATTGGATTGTCCTCAGATGAGCATCTTCGAGTCACCACCTGATGATACAAAGCCTTTGGGGTTCTCGGTGGCATTAAATACTCGGATATTGACTGGACTGCGTCCATGAGTATCATTTTCTTGAAATTAAATTTGCGATCCTGTCCCTCGTGAAATGGCAAAAATTGCTCCAGTCCGAGGGCCAAAAGATACTCCTCAGATTTCGAATAGGGAGTTTTGGTAGGCCCCTTGAGCGGATTTCTCAGGGGCACATGTGGCAATAGCTCTGGATACATGAGTGCACAACTCCCCATGAACATTTTTATCACCTCAGGGTGGAATTTATGAATGTGACGCTGCTTCTGTGTTGCTTTAACACGTATCATTTCAATTTCATACTCTTGCGTGTCCCTGAAATCAGCACAGAACCGCTCATCCTTGAATTTCTCCTCCCAGTCGCTGACGAGGGCTAGAGCATCGGGGAGATTCAACACGGTGAACGCTGAGTTGTCACCATTGCGTAAAAACTTGATACTATTCAAGTTATCCCTGCATGTTATCGACTGTGAATGCAATTGGGGATGTTGATATGTCATGATAAAGTGCTGTACCATTAATTGAACATGTTGTTGAAATTGAATGGCTATGAGATTGCTGTGCTCGAAGCTCACGATTTTCGGTAATTCTGGTTCTGAGAGGGCGGGGAGAAGACTGATCATTGGATTATCAGTGGAATTATTATGTACAGATCCCACAGAAGTCTCCAAGCTCTTCCTCTTCCTGGAGCCATCCGCTTGTATTTCCCCCCTGGAGAACATATCCTCAAATTCAAAGAGCTCAGCCACAAGATCCTTGAGCTCCTTCCTGGATACTTTGACAGCTTTATCATCCCTGATCTCCTCCTTATCCAGCATCTCGCTCTCCCTGTCTTCGAGTATATTGTACTCAGGATCAGCATCAGGATCGTCCTCAGCATTGGGCTCGTGAGGTAGGGGCTGTGTAAACTCCGTGAGAAATTTGTTCCACTCCTCGTCCATATCACAATCCCAGTCGTACATGTCAGTGGTGATATCGGGAGGGATAAACGCCTGTTCGATGTACTCTAGAGGGGTTTCACTAAGACTCAGTTTGGATCTTGTCCTCTGCCCGATGCTCTCCACCTCGTTTGGCAAGCTGGGGATTGAGGGGATCTTGAAGACTCCCTCTGAGTCGTAATGGACAGGGGGGAGGAGTTCAGAGATATCCTGAGGTGCTGGGGTGTCCACTTGGATCTGTGAAGTTGCTGGTGATGCGTCGACGTCGCTGTTCGTCAAGTGATCGCCCTCGTCCTCACTCTGGTCGTGATATGGATTGTACTCCTCGTCCGAGGAATCCTCGTGGAAATCCTCGCTGATGAGGGCCTGAACCTCAGAGGACGCCGGTTTCTTCACTGGAGTCATTGGCCAGGGAATGTTTGGCTGTGCCATTGCCAACTCTTTTGCTTTTGCTCGTGTCAACTTGGGCTCGAATATTCCACCCTCCTCTGTATTGTGCACGCTGTTTTGCACCATCGCCAGGACGTGCTCGTTCGTTATCACGTGCTTCAGAATATTCTTCACGTTTGTTGCTGTTAGATTTGTCTTCGCTGCTTTAGCATCCAACTGTCTCTCGATCTCCTCCTCCATCTCATCGATTGCTGACGATTCCTCGATCTCCACGAATTTTCGCTTCCTTGTTTTTTGGTAGTTTATCACTTCTGACACATCGATCTGGAGACCTGGGGTCTCTGAGTCTGTTGTACTCTCGCTGTCCACGTCCACGTCGAAGTTGAAGGAAAATGAGACGTTGCATTTCCGCGGGGAAATACTGACGGTTGACAGACCCTCCGGGGTCTTTCTCTCCTTCTCCAACTCCATTCTGGAGTCCTTTACTCTTTTAAGAACTTCAGTGATATCAAGCTAAATAAGAACACCTGAAAAAATACCGTGGGAGATTTTAGAACATTTCTATTGGAGCTCTGGAGAAATTCGATTGCACTCTGATTAGTATTCAATGATGAATTATTGAATTATCAAACTATCAATCTTTTTTCTCTTTTAATTATTAATCGTTCAATTTTGATAATTGGTGTGATAGTTTGATTTTTTTTAAAAAGGAAAGAAGAGGTTATATTGTTGTAAAATCGTGGATGTATACCCTAGGCTGAATTATTTCGAGGCATCTATCGATATTTTTCTTCTCTTCATGAACATCTTCGAGACTTGCAGTTATTTATGATAACAGACTACAGATTATTCAAGGGTTTCTTCACATTTTTAGGATGAACGAAAGACACTTTTTTACTGGAACGATATTGTTTGCTCACTGACCTACGACAG